AAAATTGTTTCTCGGAGGATTCTCACAGCCAGCAGAGACAGCGAAACCTTTCATCCCGTTAGATTGTGCTGGAGTCAAACATAAATCCAAGAAGCAATTGGCTCCTGGCACTGTTTTTTTTTTAAATGGACACTGTCTCCATCCAAAGTTGTTTGACAAATATTTGTTTGGGAAAGGAAATGAGCCAGAAAAGCTATGCATCATTTGTGCCAGGATTGTATCAGGCACACACTGACACACTGGAATGATTTACACCTCTCGCTCATCATTGCTTTCAGCCGCATTCTTATTTTTTCCCTCATAAAAACAACAGACCAAAGAACACACAGTTGATGCTGCCATTAACTGACCTGTGAACAAATATTGAATCACCTTCTTCTATAAATTAAATTCAACAAGTAAGAAGTCACTGCATCTCCTCAAATGTAATTTTCTGACCTTGTATCCCCAGGAATTATCCCTCAAATCTAAGTTGGAACCGCACACACGCTTGTACAGTCTGGTGACAAGATTGTGCAAAGGTAATCCTTTCACCTTTGGATCCCATGATTGAATCCAACCAATACTGACACCAATCTCCAAAATCCTTACAAGGCTGACAGGATCAGGAAGGCCCTCTGGCCCATCTGTTCTCATACTTCCAGAATAACCAACCTACCATCATCACATCACAGCATTCAGTGTCCTGACCTCAACCACCCTCCCGCAACCTGTTCCAGTCATTAACGGCTGAAGAAAAAGTTAAACAAGAACTTCCTGGTGTGTGTCTTGAAATTATCCTTTGTAACTCTAAACCCGTGTCCTCTGGTCCTGTTATCTTGGTACATCCCAAAGTATTGACGTGGGTTTATGTTTTCAATCCCATTCAAGTTTTTATACACCTCTTGGAGGATCCCTCTGAGATGTCTTCTCTCAAGGCTGGCTAGATGAATGTTAGGACAGCTGCAACTTCATTACAACCACAACCACCGCAAATTATATAGCACCTTTCATGTCTGGAGGACATGTCAAAGCAATTTACACAGCCAACTGAGCTGAGGAGGTTGCTGAATGGTAGTGGGGTAAAATGGTCAAAAAGATAGGATCTTATCTTAATTACTACAGTTGTAATTGCAAAACAATACTCAGAACTCAACACTGGCAAAAAAGATGTTTGAGAGCATTATTCAGAATAGTATCAAGCTTTATTTGAAGAGTGCACAGATAGTAAGAAAGGAATTATTTGGGGGGGGGTGGGAGGTTGCGGCATAAATGAACTTGTAGATGTGGCTGATCTTGTGGGGCATCAATTTCCCTGGATTTTCAGTCACATTTGACAGAAATTATAGTGTGAGGCACTTAAAATGCAGGCTCAGAGAATTAACGTCAAATGAATCAGTTTGGGTTGAAAACGTTCGTTGTAACAGGAAGCAGAGATAATAACAAATGGGAGAGGGAATCATCTAGGAAGTAGTTATGAGTGGAATTGGGAAGGGGTCAGTACTGAGTTCCTTATTGCTTATACAGTTCATAAACGATGTCAGCCTGGCTCAGGTGGTAGCACACTCTCGCTTCTGACTCAGGGGTTTGCAGGTTCAAGCCCCACATTGGGATAATGAACTCATAGTGTACTAGATGGCACTATGAAGAGCTGAGAGTACACTGCACTGTTGGAGGTACCATATTGGACGAGACTTCAAACCAAGGTCACGTCTGCCTTTTCAGTTAGCCAATAAAGATCCTACGGTAAGATTCGAAAACAGAAGAGAGTTTCTCTTGGTATCCTGGCCACCAATCCCACCAAATAAACACTGTACATTACTTCATAGTTGAGTGCACATTGGCCGATGCTTTCGCCTACAAAATGCAGAGTCTGTATACCTCACCATAAAACCATAAAATCTCAATGACATGATAAGGCATCGTATCAAATATAATGATTATTAGCATTATGAATAACATCTTGCAATATTAGGAAGTATGTTGGTGATACAGAGCTCTATGACACTGTATAAACTAAGGGAGATACTGTACGTATTAATAATAACAATCACTACATTTGGTAATAGTGTCTTTCATGTCAAGAGGACACCTCAAAGAGGTTTACAGGGTATACTGGAAACTATTATGATCATATGTTGTAGGCGAACGTTCAATGTGATCTGAATCAATTGAACAGATGGCTGAAAAATAGCACATGGATGTTAATGGAACTAAATATAACATGTCAGCAAAGGGAACGCAGTAAACAAGTGCACAGCGTTAAACAGTTTCACATCATACAATTATCAATAAATAACAAAGTACTAATCCTCGTGTTTGGTATAGGGCCCTCGTCACATTGCTTCTCAAAGCACTTCACAGCATTTACTGCAAAATGTAGTGAAATGTTTATTTATAGGCAAATAAAACTAAACAAACACAAAGTTAAATTTCAAGGGCATTTGTCTGTAAGTCAGAAAAGTTATTGCAACTTTATGAGCTTGGCTCACCATCAGCTCCACGTCAGAAATATATGGGTTCAAACCCCATGTTGATATTGTACTCTGGGTTCACACTCCAGGGCAGATCTGACCAGGATACAGTTCAAGATCCTGGTCCTCACCTTCATGGCCTTGCTCCCCACTACCTCTATGACCTCCTAAACCCCTACCAACCCGCCCGCTCCCTCCGCTCAGCGGGCTCCAGCCTACTTCACATCCCCTGCCTCACCCACCCCACCATTGGTGGGCAGGCCTTCTGCCACTCTGCCCTCATCCTACAGAACTCCACATGTAATTTTGTTGTTGTTCTCCTGGAGTTCTGCCCAATAATCTTGCGGATTGATTAATCATTCACCCCACGGCTGTTTGTGTGACTTTACTAGGGTCAAAACAGCTGCTGTGTTTACTTACAGAACCACTCACTACACTTGACAGGAATACTGTAGAATACTGCGACACATTTTGGTGAGAGTGAAAGGAAGAGTTGAGAGAATAGCTCTGTCACCGAGAGCTTTAAGTTATAAGGAGAGAAGTCCGAGTTAAATCTATAGATCAGCGCACAATCTACAGTATTCCAAATGGTCAATTTATCAATCCTTGCGTTTGATACAGCGCCTTATCCCGTCACTGAGATGTCTCAAAGCGCTTCACAGAATGTACTGTGAACTGCATTGACTGTATATTGTGGGCCTATGCAGCCACCCGTTTAACATCCAGAGGTGGCCTCGGTTTAAGGTCTTATCTGACTCAGAAACGAGAGATGCATCCTATTTCGAATCAAGTATTAATCCATCTCTTTTTCAATAAGGTCCTGACAGGTCGAGAAGTTCATCAGAAAATGTATTGTAAACAGACACTCGTCTTCGTGAGGATGGGCCAAATTTCCGGTCGTCTCAAGTATCATTGGGGTTATTTAATCTTCTACTTGTTGTTCTGTAACCTTCCGCTTACAGTCCAAGTGTAAAAATCTGCATTCTCCTTTCCTCTTGGAATTGGTAAACCAAGATCATGTTTTCCCTCAATGTTAATTGATTCCTCGCTCTGAGACACTGCCCACACAAAGGACTCTATATGAATTTAAGTTGTTGTTGTACAGCGCCCCTCATGTGGGGTAGCATCTCGAGATGCTTCTAGTAACTTTGGGAACCTGTTGAGGACGGCTCAGGGTTTCTAACCCTTTTCACATCCTTCCAACGATTTTTGTTCCTTCGGGAAGGATCGAAATCGTTCGGTTTCCCAGAATGGGTAGGAGTCAAGTGTGGGTTAAGTCAGCCGCACGTTACTGCAGAACAACTGACAGTGTGGGTTTTACGGATGTATCCGTGGTGGGGATTTGAATCCAGGCCTCACCAGTGAGCTATATATACAGCAGTCAGACTTGCGTCTCAGATGGCCTTTTGATGCACGTGATTAGGGGGACTGGTTAAAGCTTCACACGAAGAGGCGACTGTTTCGGTGACTTGTTCATAATCGCATCCAAATCCTCACCACCGTCCTTGCACTGTTAACCCTTCAAAGCTTGATTATTTCCCTGTTGGCTTTGCCTGCATTCAAATCCATCTCTCATTCTTTTAGCAGGTCCACTCAGACAGCTCCTTATCTTTTCTGTATGGTTATCAGTCTGTCCGACGTTTCGCTCAACAGGCAGCTTGACTGGAGTTATTGACAGATTCTAAATGGCACTCCTTCAAACAATAAGTGCTCTCGTCCATAATTGCTAATGAATAGGCTGAAGAGCCTGCAGCGGGTCCAAAGGGTGATAGATAATGGTCTATTGGCAATCAATGGGTTACGAGCGCTGTACATATTTAATACGTTATGTGCTTTTGTTCTTTTGCAAAACAATAATTACATCCTCTTTCCCCACCCCACACCCCCACCCACACTCTCACCCACCCAATCTGAACTCGAGTCTCTCTGTGCCTTGCCTTGAATGCATAACGTGTTAGATAACTAGTGCAGAGAATTACAAGAAGTCAGACCTTTTTTTTACAAAAAAAAACGCTGGAGGAGGTTTTATTGACGTGGTACACACGCAAGGAAACTTCAGGGATTCATAAAGGAATGTAGTGAAGCGCATACAATATTGAATCCATTCATATATATATAGAGAGAGAGAGAGAGGGGGGGAGAGAGAAAACAAAAGCGATACAAACACCAAGTACTGCAGAGAAGCAGCACCAATAAAAACACCCTACTGAAACCACAGAGGCATTTGGCCCTACGTTAGCAAGTAAAATATTTGCAAATAACAAGTGACAGATAAATTCGCCACAGTCCAACCTCACCTGCTCCATCATTTCACTGAGCATCAAATTGTAGGGCGGGAGGGAGGGGAAGGGATTGAGTTAGGGGTTATTGGAATAATCAAGGCTACAGCAATGATTAGGTAAAAAAAAAATCAACCCTAAAAAAAAACCACATATATAAGGAAACCATAGCAACACATTGCAAACAGAATTAACCTTATGGTTAGCAATCAGAGAGCTAGCTTAAGCAAAGGATTTGCCAGGGGAAATATTACATTAGGGTACTTACTGTTTGTTCTTGCCTCATTCATTCCTAGGCTTACACCAGGTGCCTCTCTCTCCCTCTCTCTGTCTCTCTATCTTACGTGAGATCTCTGCTCATGTGAAAGCAAAAAAAAAACTGGATCACAAATGATCTCTATCAACACCCCAATTCTCACATACCCCATCCTGGGGAGGGAGGGGATGGGGAAACAAACATTCTATAAATATATATTATATATATATATACATAAAATATATATTAAAAAAAAACGCCAACCTTAAAATGCCTTCCCTAGCAACGAGAGAGAAGGAGATGGAGAGATGGAGAGAGAATTTGCAGGTTATTTGCAGTGGGAGGGAGTAGTGTGGCTGTGGTCTTTGCTCAGTCTCTCTCGGTCTCTGTGTGTGTGTGTGTGTGAGATCAGTGAAGCTTCATCAGCTCCTGCTCCATCACATGCAAAAAAAAAACTACTAATAATAATAATAGGACCTCAGCCTCCACTCCCCATGATCCCAAACGAGGATGCTCACACACACAACACACACGCTCACATTGACTGAAGAGCAAGTCACAACCTCACCAGCGAATGGTCACCAGATGACAGGGAAAGGCAGTCAGTCCCTCTTGTGTTTCTCTCTCTGGTGTGCTTGTCTGTCTGTCTGTCTGTCTGTAGCCTGTATGTTGTATGTGTGCGTGTGTGTGTGTGTGTCTGTACTGTATATCATTGCAATTTTCGGTTCAAACCATCACCATCCTATAGGCTGCAGAATCACACTGCAAATGACTACCTCTGGACTCCCTGAATCCAATATAATAAGGTCTTTCACACATACACACATACAGGGAGGGAGAGAGAGAACACAGACACATAGACTTCCACCCAGGCAGTATTTCATCTGTTATGATTCTTTTAACTGTACGTTTTGGTGACTGCTGATCCTTATTCGTTGCCTCGTGGAAAACACAACAATTTTCCACCGATGCAATGATTTGGGAGGATATTCCTGATAAGGATATGCAGGCACGGCGTTGAAGGGGTTAAAATTAAAATCAAATCCAGAAATCAATCAGTCAAGAAATCAATCAATTCAATCAATCAATCAATCAAGAAAACAACCAATCAAGAAATCAATCGGTCAATGAATCGGTCAGTCAAGAAATACTGCAAGAAGAAAAAGAGGTGTAAATGAAAACCATTCACCCACCCACCCACCCACCCACCTTGGGTCAAATGGCCACCACGCACCAAAATAGCAGGTGCTCATGAATTCAAAACGCCTCACATAACGAATGAGTGAGTGAGTTAGTGAGTGAGTGGATGTTGAACAAGTTCACAAGTAACTATCTCCTTCCTCGCCCTCAGCAAAGCGACTTACAAGCAAGTCTGTCTGTCTGTGTCTGTCTGTCTGTCCGTCTGTTTCTGGCCACAGTAAATCTAGAGGTGCTGCTTTCTGTGAAGATTCACTCAACATCTGAGCCCCAGTCAGAGAGAGACACAGAGAGTGTGTGTCCCACACCTGCAACCTCAACGCTCTCTACAAAGGAAGGCTGTGTCTCCTCCAAAATACACAACTCCCTCCGAAATACATACACACCCACATAAACACGCAAACAATTATTTATGATTAATACATCTGGATGATTCCTATGAAAGCAGGTTGCCAAGCAGGTTGGTTCAGATGCCTGGCAGCAGAATTAAATTTTTTTAAAAAAATAGAAATTGCTTTCTACCATCCAAAAGAAAAGGATTTTTTTTGGGGGCTGATCAGAAACGTGCCATATTTTTTTTTTGGCAGACGATAAATTGATGCTGTGGAAGGGGCCAAATGTGGAGATGTTGCCTGAGGTGTTACGCACACCAATATCAAACCAACCTTTACTCTTGTCTGTAGCTCCAATAAAAGTCATTCCAAAACATACCTACTCCGTCTGCCAACATGTCAAGCGCCCAATGGTTTTATTCCAAGCACGCCCTTCACGCGAATTAAAAGTCCTTTTTTAATATTTATTCACCCACATCCCGTCCACACCCCATCCTTCCCAAGAAAAAAAAATATCGACAATGTTTTTGATTTATCTCAAGAGAGGTTAAATCCTGAGAAAAAATGTGACCAGAAGCATATTGCTGGCGACTGGCGCCAATGCAGTGTCTCACCTGTGGGAACGTACCTGGAAAAAGTAAGGGATTTGGGAGCTAAACTGGGAATGTGAAGGTTTTGACTCCTGTTCACTACATCAGTCGATGGGAATATTTCCCCCCCCCCTCACCTGCTTCTATCAAGGTGTCTTATCCCCTAGGCCACACAGTGCGCTGTCATCTGTTTCACTTTTCTAACATACATTTGAATATCAGATGAATCCAACCAAAAAGGTTTGGGTTTTAAAAAAAATTCGTCTTTTAAAATATGTCATTGCCATGGAGATGGAAATACATCGTTAGACCCGCTCAGAAGGTAATAAGATATTGAAAGGGGCATTTTTCTGACGTCCGACTATTTCAGTCTCATCACGAAGGGCCCACTCAACACCCACCATCTCCTTATCCCGAAGCTCACTCGATCATAAACATGCAACCCAGCCAAAGATTACAAACCCAGTAAACCTCGGACACCGAACGCATTGATGACTTCAATTCACAAGGCAAAGGCTACATTTTTCTTTCTTGGGCGGTTAAAGGGTCTTCAGGAGGATGTTCTCGTTCCTTGGCTAGCAACATCTCACTTGATCGACTGAGACAAAGCTGAGATAACAGTAAGATATATGCCGAGGCTGTACCTTGTTGGAAAATAAATACATGTTCGATCAGGCCAACCGGCCAGACCTTTTCATCACCGCTTTCTGAAACAAGGTGGGATTTATACCATTTCCGATCACCGCTGAGCCCTCAGACAATTCCCTATACACTCATCTGTTGACCTCCACACCAGAAGGGGTGAAATTCCCAGTCCAGTTGGTATTATTCTGCACAAGGAAATAACCAGACAACCAAACATAACCAATAAAAAAAAATAATAACGACTTAAAACTGGAACCTTTTCGTCAAACCCATGGTCTCTCTCACCCAACAAAGTTTGCACTGTAGGTCTGTGATCGTCACCAGCTAATCTCCTACAAATTCCGAGCACATCACTCTATCTCTCTCAGCCGGCATATTGCTGACTGGAGCAGTTACAAAGCTTCAAGGCAGCACACAAAGAAATGCACTTGAAGATAGGAATGGGTTACACTTGACAACAGGACACTTTCCAAGAGCTTTACACGGCCGGCTTGACCTCGCTGATGCAGGGGGGAAAAAAAACTGCAAGTTGCTCTTTTTGGGTTTCCACATTACACAGACGTCTGGAGAAACATAATATAGGCAGCTATATATATATATATAATATATATGTGTGTGTGTGTGTCCTGAAATATGCTGATTGAGCTTTCAAAATACCCTAATCCTTTCCTCCTACACAATAACTGCTTTGAAAACACAATCCAATGTGAAGCGATACCAACAAAACTCACAAATAACTATTTCAGGACCAAAGGACCAAAGGACACAGACCGCGATAACAACTGTTGTGTTTTGTGTTGATGCTGAAATCGTGTTTCAGTCCCAAGCAAAATTTAATTGAAAAAAAAAACCACACACACACCTTTCTTTACAATTATCAGGAACTGCACCTTTTCAACCACAGCAGCGTGGCTTCACAAGACTCAACGGCAAAGACAAACGCGTGGCAAGGTGTCGTTATTATAATAATTCAAAAGAAGGCGAAAAACATCCAGCAGATCAACCCAATTATAAACGTCTGAGTCCCAAGTTATAAAACACAGCCGAAGCAACGTGGAACTGTTGAACCTTACCACGCGAAAACCTTCGGGGGTTTAAAGTACAATCAAAAAAAAAGAAATGCCAAGTGCAAATAAGAAGCAGGAGAGAGAGCAAAAGTCCTTCCTTCCACAGCAAACACACTTCCCCTGCCTGATGGTAACCATGTCCTGCATTAGGATTTAAATATACATATATATATATAATAAATACCTGTATTGTCAGAATAGTTTGGATTGATTTGTGCGGCTAATGTTCCCAATGAAGGTACATGAGTGAAGGGGCATTGGCAGCTCAATGGGAACATGTGCTATGAATAACCAATTGCACATGAAGGCTTCACCCCCACCCACGCACGCACACGCCCACCCACCCACACGCACACACACCCCCACCCTTCTCTCTGCAGTGGGTGCCTCGCCTTGCCACAGAGTCCTGTAGTCTTGTAGCTCAGTGGTTAGAGCACTCGCTTTGCAAGTGAGAGACCTGAGTTCAATTCCAGGCAGAGGGCGAAACCTTGGGCAAGTTTCCTTACTCCACACAGAGCCTAATAATAATCCCTCCAAAACCAAAAACAATAATAAATTGGTCATTTTCAATCTACGACTGTTTGTGGGACATTGCGGTGCGCAATTGGCTGCCGCGTTCGCCCACAAACATACAGTCAATTCACTTTACAGTGTGTTCTGTGAAGCGCTTTGGGACGTCCTCCCGACGTAAAAAGCGCTATAGCAAATGCAAGGATTATTATTATTATATTATTATTATTAGAGAGCCAGGGCAGGCAGGTGGCTCCTCATTTGTGAAACGAGCAAGAAATTGCGCAACACTGAATGTAAAACAATTCAGCCTTCCCTTCCCCTCTCTCTCTTTCTTTCTCTCTTTCTCTCTTTCTCTCTCTCTCTCTCTGTGTTGCAGGCTTGCGCTTTGATCCCAGCCAGGATGAAGCAATCTCTCCATCCAGAGAGGATCTGATGTGATGTGATGTGATCCTCTCTCTTCTCTTCTCTCCTCTCTCTTCTCTTCTCTCTCTTCACTCCTCTCTTCTCTCCTCTCTCTTTTCTCTCTCTCTTCTCTCTCTCTTCTCTCCTCTCTCTTCTCTCCTCTCTCTTCTCTCTTCTCTCCTCTCTCTTCTCTCCTCTTTTCTCTCCTCTCTTCTCTCTCTCTCTCTCTCCTCTCTCCTCCCCATCACAGCTGGTGACACCAGGTACCCAGAGTAGGACCAGTTCCCTGCTCTGCTTTGACAGGTTATCTGCCATCTGAACCAAATGCCTTATATGTATATATATATATATATATAAATCTCTCTGTATAGGAGACGATATCATTTTTTTTGCTGTTGTCTTATTTGAAACAGGAAGTGTATATATATATATACATATGTGTGTGTGTGTGAGAGAGAGAGAGAGCTGAGGCTGTCAGTGTCCACACACACACACACAGATACAGTAGACAGTCAGTGTGTGTGTGTCTGTGTGTGTGTCTGTGTCTATGTGTCTGTGTGTGTGTATGTGTGTATGTCTGTGTCTGTCTGTGTCTGTCTGTGTGTCTGTCTGTGTGTCTGTCTGTGTGTGTGTCTGTGTCTGTGTCTGTCTGTGTCTGTGTCTGTGTGTAACTGTCTGTGTGTCTGTGTCTATGTGTCTGTGTGTCTGTCTGTGTGTCTGTCTGTCTGTCTGTCTGTGTGTCTGTGTGTGTGTGTGTATGTGTGTCTATGTGTCTGTGTGTGTGTCTGTGTGTCTGTGTCTATGTGTCTGTCTGTGTGTCTGTGTGTGTGTCTGTGTGTGTGTGTCTGTATCAGTGTGTGTAACTGTCTGTGTGTGTCTGTGTGTGTGTCTGTCTGTGGGTCTGTCTGTGTGTGTGTCTGTGTGTGTGTCTGTGTGTAACTCTCTGTGTGTGTCTGTGTGTGTGTCTGTGTGTAACTGTCTGTGTGTGTGTCTGTGTGTAACTGTCTGTGTGTGACTGTGTGTCTGTGTGTGTCTGTCTGTCTGTGTGTGTGTCTGTGTGTGTGTCTGTGTGTAACTCTCTGTGTGTGTCTGTGTGTGTCTGTGTGTAACTGTCTGTGTGTGTGTCTGTGTGTAACTGTCTGTGTGTGACTGTGTGTCTGTGTGTGTGTCTGTCTGTCTGTGTGTGTGTCTGTCTGTGTGTGTGTCTGTGTGTAACTGTCTGTGTGTGTGTCTGTGTGTAACTGTCTGTGTGTGACTGTGTGTCTGTGTGTAACTGTCTGTGTGTGACTGTGTGTCTGTGTGTGTGTCTGTGTGTGTCTGTCTGTCTGTGTGTGTGTGTGTCTGTCTGTGTGTGTGTCTGTCTGTGTGTGTGTCTGTGTGTAACTGTCTGTTCCCCCATTTCCACCTGAAACCCCCAAACGCTCTCAGACGGGAAACAATGTACAGTGTTTGGTGACACAATGTTACCTTCGCTCCGACCGCTTCCCGGGAATCCCGAACCCCCGTCAGTCCGTCCGTCAGTCTGTGCTGTGTCTGTGTGTCTGTGTGTGTCTCTGTCTGTCTGTCTGTGTGTGTGTCTGTGTGTGTGTGTGTCTGTGTGTGTGTCTGTGTGTGTCTGTGTGTGTGTGTGTGTCTGTGTGTGTGTCTGTGTGTCTGTGTGTGTCTGTGTGTGTGTCTGTGTGTGTGTGTGTCTGTGTGTGTGTCTGTGTGTGTCTGTGTGTGTGTGTCTGTGTGTGTGTCTGTCTGTGTGTGTGTCTGTGTGTGTGTGTGTCTGTGTGTGTGTCTGTGTGTGTCTGTGTGTGTGTCTGTGTGTGTCTGTGTGTGTGTGTCTGTGTGTCTCTGTCTGTCTGTCTGTGTGTCTGTGTCTGTGTGTGTGTCTGTGTGTCTGTGTGTCTGTGTGTCTCTGTGTGTCTGTGTCTATGTGTCTGTGTGTGTGTGTCTATGTGTCTGTGTGTGTGTCTGTGTCTATGTGTGTGTGTCTGTGTGTGTGTGTCTGTGTGTATCTGTGTGTGTGTCTGTGTCTGTGTGTCTGTGTCTATGTCTGTGTGTGTCTGTGTGTGTCTGTGTCTGTCTGTGTCTGTGTGTGTGTGTGTCTGTGTCTGTCTGTCTGTGTCTGTGTCTGTCCTCTCAGGTGGAATCCATCTGAAGCTTCAGAGAGTCAGAGAGTCAGTGAGTGTTTGTGGTTTAAATGTCCCAATGGTCGGAATTAAAGGTAAATACCTCTTTGCCTTTGTACCTCTCTGACTGACTGCAGTCATCTCCCCCCTCCCCCCCCCCCCCTCCCTCTCTCTCCTCTCTCCTCCTCCTCCTCCTCCTCTCCTCCCATCCAACCAACCACCAGCCCATCTCCCTGGGTCCTAGAGCCTCTGGGAGCTGCAGGGTCTGTCTGTCTGTCTATGTGTCTGTGTGTGTGTCTGTCTGTCTGTCTGTCTGTCTGTCTGTCTGTCTGTGTGTGTGTCTGTGTGTGTGTGTGTCTGTCTGTCTGTCTGTCTGTCTGTGTGTGTGTGTGTCTGTCTGTGTCTGTCTGTGTGTCTGTCTGTCTGTGTCTGTCTGTCTGTGTCTGTCTGTGTGTCTGTCTGTGTGTGTCTGTGTCTGTGTGTGTGTCTGTCTGTGTCTGTGTGTGTGTCTGTGTGTGTCTGTCTGTCTGTCTGTGACTGTCTGGCACTTTGGAGGTTATTTGTTGTTGTTGTTGTTGTTGTGGGTCAAGTCCAAGTGAGACCGGTGTGTGATTATTGTTGTTTTGGCCCCCGATGGGTGTCTGTCCGACACGCGCTGGCGCTCGCGCGCGGGGAGGCCAACCCGCCACCTTTCTCGCTCGAGTGCCCCCGAACCGAGCTGAGATGTTCCCCGGACCCCGACCCACACGGGGATCGATTTGCTGGAATGGAATGCGCTCTCTCTCTCTCTCTCTCTCTCCCTCCCCTCTCCCCGGAGGCACCCGTGCCGTTTACCTAATCCCGGAAATCCCGGAGGTATTAAGGCGCAGGTTTGGGCGAGAGAGCCAAGGCTTGGGGTGGGTGGTGGGGGGGTGGGGGGGGGGGGAGGGTGGGTGGGGGGGGGGTTGGGAGTCCGGAGTGTGCGTTGGTAACTGCTGGAGTCTAACCAGATAAGACCGCACATAGCTTGGCCATTGGTATCGCTGTCTGGCCAAGCTTTCCCGCTGCCTGTCCAGCCGGGACCACCCTCCCAGTTAGGGCTTTGGCTTCCAGGGTTAATGACTCCCCGACCCCAGGGGCTGGTCTGCCCTTCCAGACTCCGCCGATGAGCCAATCATCAGTAGTGCCCAAACAGCGTGGAGTCTGACACATGAGGAAACCCGCCACCACCCTGCAGAAGATCCAAAGCTCACAGGGAGGACAAACCGAATCCCGCCGGCCTGGTTTAGGCGGACGTTAAAGATCCCACGGCTCTATTCGAAAAGAGAAGGGAATTTCTCTCCCCTGATGTCCTGGCCAAACCCCCACGCCCCGCCCCCAGCCCCCAAATAAAATTGTTCCCTTGCTCCGTGGCTCTTTGTGGGACCTTGCTGTGCGCCAACTGTCTGCCACGTTCCGCCCACAGAAAATAAACAGGAAATCCGACTTACGGTATATCCCGTGAAGCGCTTTGAGACGTCTTGACGACGCGATAAGGCGTTATATTAAATGCAAGGATCAGTATTATTATCTCACCGACGTGTGGAAATTCCCGGGGATTGGAACGGAATGCGCACTCTCTCCCCGGCGGGACGCTTACTCCGGAGGGTTATTAGTGCAGACTGGCAAGGCTCCAGGCTTGGGGATGCCAGCGTGTGCGTTGGGGTATTTCTGGAGTGTAATTAGTTTAACCACTCAATCTCCACACAGGTTTCCATTGAAAGCGCTGTCTGGCCAAGCTTTTCCACTGCTTGTCCAGCTCGGACCACCCTCCCCGTGAGGGCTTTGGCTTGCAGGGTTAACAAGAGCTGAGTCTACCCTTCCAAGTCCAGACCAGTCACTATGGCCAGGGATTTTTTTTTCCCACTGCAACGAGAACTTCTATGTAATATGAAGAAAATGCCCACCTGACACTTGCAATTACTATGGTTTTACAAGTTTTTACAATTCACCACCCAAAAAAGTGTGTGACTAATGCGAATTAGTTTCTTTTACGTTCGTAATTTACATTTTACATCTCAAAGTACTCGGTACTAATTTCCATTAACTGTAGTGACTATACAAGAAGAAACTCCCCCTTCCACTTTTCAGCACAATGCAATTTACATTCACCCGGTGCCTTTCATGTTGGGGAGACATCTTAAAGTGCTTCGCAGTGCTGATGGGCACCTGGACCGAGGGTGGAAGCCAAGGTGGGTGGAGGGAGAGGGACACATTTTCAAACGTCGTCATAGGACATCTTTCACTTTCACCTGTTGAATTTATCCTGGAATCCTTTGCACTGGTTGTTAATTATATACTGAGACGTCTCGAAGACGTGATAAGGCGCTATATCAAATAATAATAATAACAATAAATGCAAGGATTATCGTTATATGCTGTGGTTAAGGCCACATGTAATTCCCTGTGTTGCACGTGTGTACCCCCAATGGTTAGCACAACAATAAATTAGACCACATTGAGTCATAAAATTTGTATTCATTATCCCAAGGTTTTCAGTACCTCTGCTACTCACCTACAAAAACAAATCATTTCCATAATGCTTCAAAGTGCATCTTTGGATCGGTTGGAGTTAGACTAAAGCCAATGGACAGCATCAATAAAAGATACTGAATTCACGCGAGTTGAAAAGAGTACTGTTTCTTGTATTTTTTAAGTGACGCAAAAAGCAATTCACTCAGATCAGCATTTGGTCTGATCGCAAACATCACCTTTTATTGGCGAATGACCACTCACTATGTATGTTTTTTTTCCCCCTCTGTAAACAGTTGTGTTGATACAGCACTATTTTGTGATGGAGCTGTCCACCTTTTGATTAGAGAGGTATAAATGTGCGCAGAATTTTAATTTTTTTTTCCCCCCCTCAAAGGAGTTTGTTTAACTGGAAATGTCAAATATCTTCAGACTCAGAGAATCAGATGCAGCAGTTATAGCACATTGCTTGTGTTTATGCAAAGTGCTTTTTATGTCACATCAATACAAGAAACGGCACAACTCTTTTCAACTCACATCAATTCAGTATTTTCTAGTGAAGCTGTCCGACGGCTTTAGTTTGACTCCAACTGATCCAAAGACACATTTTGAAGCATTATGGAAATGATTTATTTTTGAAAGAATACGATTCACTGAACAGCCTTTAAAGCTTCTAATGTTCCTGTCAGACCCTTTTCAGGCATTCAACAGATCTGAATGCAAATATTTCAGTTTACAGTTAACCCACAGAATTCAGGTACATGCTTTCTTTATGCACCATTCCAAAGATGGTGCCTACGATACATAGGTTTACAAGGATTTACATAGACTGTAAGGCACGTACACAGGTCATACAGCCCACTACTCCGCACCTTTGGTCATATTCCACCCGAGTCTCCACCCACCTTGGGACGTCCTCCCGACGTGAAAGGCGCTATACAAATGTAATTTTGTTGTTGTTGTTGCACTTCTTACTCTCCTCTCCCATATCTTTCTATTCCTTCCTTGGGACTTTCTTCTGACGTGAAAGGCGCTAAATACATGTAATTTGATGTTGTTGTTATTCCCTTCTCCATTATGTGTACGTCTAACTTCCTCGTAAACGCACAAGAGAGGCACACTTGCCACATACGATGTGGACATTTCTCCCAATGCCACAATTAACAACAACAAGATTACATTTGTATAGAGCCTTGCATGTCAGGAGGATGTCCCAAGGTGCTGGACAGTGTACAGCATTTCAGACCTGAGCTGTAATATAACAATATTATATTTATAAAAGGGGGGGAATTCTCTGACAAAAATGCAGTGTTCCACATAAGAAATGCTGGACGATGAAAGACCAAGATCCATCTAGTTCATCTTCCACCTTTCTGGCGGGCGCCTGCACACATGTCCCAAACTACCTATGTACTATATCCCACAATGTGATTTCCTAAAAGAAAATGATCTGATCTGTTTTCAGAAGAATCAACATTTCAACCTACTTCAACCGTTTCCCTGGGGAGCCTGTTCCACAGGTTTACTATTCACTCACTGAAATAGTGTTTGCATAGGTTCATTCTGAATATCTCCCTCTTCCAGTCGCAAGCCGTGGCCTCTGGTTCTACAATTCTGGACAAGTTGAACCAGCCTGTCATGATCTATAATGTTTTGCCCCTTTAGAATCTTAAAGACAGCGATCGTGTCGCCTCTCAATCGTCTCTTTGCCAGTGTGAACGTACCCGATTTACTGAGTCGCTCCTCATAGTCCAGTCCTTCCATTCCCTCAATCATTTTGGTTGCCCTCCTCTGTACCTTCTCGATTTCTCCCATATCCTTTTCGTACTGCCGCGACCAGAACTATACACAGTATCTACGTATGGTCTCACCGGTGATTTATCCAGTGGCAGGATTACCCCACTATTTCGACTTCCTATTGATCTTTTGATACATCCCAACATCTGGTTTGCTTCACTCACTG